TACAGTCAAAACCTTGATTCTTCAGACCTCCAGCAGACGGCATGTGCAATGGGCATTTTGTTTTTGTTTTGGACTTCATCCCTAAATAGTGGAGAAAAGCCATGATTTTCACAACATTCAAGACAACTGATCTAATTTATAGCAAGTGCATCACTTCCACCATCATGTTCCTTTGTGTCATTTGTCTCTATTCCCTGCCATTAATGAGAAAATTGTAAGAAGGGCAGACAACGCAGACAAACCAGGGAAAACCATTGGCAATTACCCAAAGGATATCAATTACATCAATGTTATCAATTCCATTTCCTCCACCCCAACTGTCCATTCAGTTGAGGTTTTGCTGCATTTTGCGAAGGAATATAGAAGATGGATATCCAGGGTTACAGGTAGTCCTCAACTTACAACAGTTCGTTTAATGATCATTTGAACTCATGGCAACAAAAAAGTGACATGACCATTTTTCACACTCCAGCATCCCCATGGTCGTGTGATCAAAATTCACATGTTTGGCAACTGACTCATATTTATGATGGCTGCAGTGTCCTTTTGCAATATTCTGACAAGCGAAGTCACTGGGGAAGCCAGATTCACTTAACAACCAGGTTACTAAGGTAGCTACTGCAGTGATTCACTTAGCAACTGCAGCAAGAAAGAATGTAAAATGGGACAAAAGCCACTTAACTAATGTTTCACTTAGCAACATAAATTTGGGCTCAATTGTGATCGTACGTTGAGGACTAGCTGTACTAGCTTTGAGGAAGATTTTATTGGAGTAGCTTTTTACATTTAGGTCTTCTACAACTTCTAACCCTGAGGTCCAATCCCTCTGAGAGGCAGTGGGAAAGAAGTGGGGAACTCCATGGAGTCTTGGCTGGGAGTGGGGTGGAGGGCTTAAAATATTAGGAGGTTTCTGAACCAGGCCTGTGATTCTGGACAATTATCCCCAAAACCCTTGGAGAATTAGGGACAATCAGATCAGGCTGGTACAGAAAGTTTAGACCTTGGACAGATTCTTAAATTTCAATGCTGCTTCTGCTGTTCCAAAAAAATATATTCATTTCCTCCCTGTCCTGATTTGTTTGTAAACAGTTACTAGTTTTTCTTGCAAATCTTTGCAATCTTCACTTCATGCAACCTGATGCATCTGTCCTTCTTTTTCACATCCTGCCATTGCTCCCTAATTAAAACACGCACCCCTTTTAATTATTGTTTTTACTTCAATGTTAGATTGACAAGTCACCAGGGCAAACTCCAAAGCAGTGTGGGCCCGATAGCCATGGGGAAAGACATTTCCTGTTCTGCCCCGGGGTTTTCAGATTCCAGGTGTAAGGAGCATCTTCCCAAGAACAGAAGGTGACAGAGAAAGATGGAGATTACAGCTCTGTCTGCTGGATGTCTGGCAGGCAGATATGTTTGTCTCACCCACAGCCACACCATCTCCCTTGCTATAGCCAGTGGATGCATAGTTAGGTATGCATCTCCCCAAGGAGCATTTGAACCCCACATCCATCAAGCATCCCCGGGATCTGCCCTCTTCTCTTTGCCTTTGATGGTCCATGGACCTCTCCCAATTCACTCCTAGTGCCAGAGGCCAAGGCCAGCAGCCAATCTCAAAAGCTGTTTGATCTGATTAGCTTTTCTGGTGGACTGGTGTCATTGTAAGAGGTAAGGAAAGTACTAACCATGTGGTCTCCTTTTCAAGGATGAGCAACAGCCTTTGTTTATTAAGTCCTAGGCTCAATATTCCTCCAGTTTGTCAAAAGTAGCATCCAGGTGAGAACCTGGGCCTTGTGCGGTCATGTATACCTTATTATTTAAAAGAAGACAGGTGATTAGAAAGATTGAATGTCTTCTTTTAAAACATAAAATCTTTCTGCCCAGTTGATATAAAACTTGATGGCCACCTGAGTGTGAGAACTCATCCACTGGGAGAAAGAATAAAGGTGTTCTGGGAGAAGGGAAGACAACATGTGAATCGGATATCCATTTGGACTTGAAAAACCAGGTCATGTAATGGGTCAACGGGGAAAAATACCAATGTGGCTTCCAGGAGTTGAAAACCACTGGATGGCTCAGAATCTGTTTCATGCTTGGACTCTTGATCACTTGCCACACTGAACTTGTGCACATCCTGCAGTATCTATGGGGTGGGGGTGGGGGGACTCATTTTGGAAGGTTTAGCAATAGCACTTAGACTTACAGTATATACTGCTTCATAGGGCTTTTACAGCCCTCTCTAAGCAGTTTACAGAGTCATCCTCTTGCCCCCAGCAATCTGGCTCCTCATTTTACCCACCTTGGAAGGATGGAAGGATGGGTCAAACTTGAGCCTGGTGCAATTCAAACTACCAAACTGCTGGCAGCGGAAGTAGCCTGCAGTACTGCACTCTAACCACTGCACCACTGTCACTCAAAGTTTAGCCTAAAATTGCACCCTCAATGCCCCACCCCCAAGTCCTCTTAGTTAGTACCAAAGAAAATTTTCAGAACTTTCTCTTCCTTTGGTAGATGAAACTGACCAGGAGGCAGAAGATGGAAAGAAAAAAGCACCCACAGGGAAGAGCCTGAGAGAGGGTTATTTTGCTAGTAAAGGCCCACTAGCCAGAAGGGCTTTGGGGATGGTCCTTTGGAGCCAGAGGGTGAAAGAGCAGCCAAACACAGAGGCACAGGAGAGTTTCTCCTTTCAGATCAGGCACACCACTTGCTAAAAGCACAAGCATTTTGCCTTGGCGGGGACCGGGGGGGGGGGGCGGCAGAGGTTAATTGGCAAGCCACCAGCCATTCAACTGCGTTTTGAGCGCAGAGGGACCACTGCACCCCGCTCAGTTCTTTCATTACCCTGATAGGTTTTTTCACGTGTGGGATAACAAGGCGTCTTAATACTTTCCGGGTAACCTGTGAGAAATAACATAGGAAAAACAAAAGTCGATATGGGTTCAGCCCGAGTACGGAAGGACAAAGAATCCATAATTTAGGACTCAAGAAAGAAGGAGAAAAATGAATCTGCAGAATGGAATTACTTTTCGGGTGACGGTATTGCCTTCTTCGTCCGTGAACTGCTCTCGCGTGACTGATTCACCTGGAATGTTTTTGGCTTCCTCACCCTAGTAGAGAACAGGTCAAAGGGTTAGCCCTGCTCACTTGGGGCCACCTCCTGCTTTTCAACACCAGTCCAAGCAATAAACTCATGCCAGGCCAGGCAAGATTTTCTTGTTAGAGACAATGGCCAGACATCTAGAGTGTCTTGGGACACATGATTCATAGTTTTGATTCTGGGGATCATGCTGAAGATATACTTATGTTGTCAAAGGCCATTTATGGGTGGCTGCTGCTTTCAGGAAACAGGGGCCAGTCTTTCCACTCTGGAGAGCAATTTATGCCATGGTTGGTGCTATGTATGTAGGAAATTTGTCTAGGAAACTTGGGGCTAAACCCCTGGAGAAGGCTTTGTAGAAACTCCATCCAGGAAGTTATAGAGCACAATCACTATTTCCTTTTGATAGGCCTGAGAAGTTGTTCCTCTGAAATAATTCTTCCCTGATGCCATCTCAATCCTCCATAAATCTTTTTTTGAAGACAAAGTTATTACTTGTACAATTTTCTGGCTCTTTATTCAGGAGAAGCCCATGCTTAGTTGCGCTGGTCCTACCTAGTACCTTGAACTAAGATTAGTTCTTCATGAAAAACAGCTCACCAGAATCTCTCCCAACATGAGTTTTTTAAAAAAACAAGAGCCGCTTTATTCCCAATGACTTTGGGCAGATAAGGCTCCCCACTTATCTAAAGAGAAGCTCCAACTGGTTATTATTAGGGACTGGATGAGGGCTAACAAACTTGTGCTCAACCCGGATAAGACCGAGTGGCTGTTGTGTTTCCCTCCCGCCAATTTGG